ACGTTTCCAGCTATAAAACATTGTCACAGATCCTTAAATTCGACTATAATACATAATTATGACAGTAAGAACTCAATTATGAGAATCTTCCACAACTTTCTGCCACCGGGCCCGCCCTACTTTGGAATGAGGTGAAATATTTGACAGATTTCACTGTGGGGAAGTTCAATCGTTAGAAAAATAATTTGAGAGTTTTGTTTTCTACTGAAATATTAGTCGTATTTTATAAAAATAGGTTAAAAATAAACTAAACTACGGATATTTCTAAAAGTATAGGAATTAACACATGTGCAAACATTAAAGAGCAAGCCCTAAGACATTGTTTAGTGTGTAAAAATAAATTAGAATCGGAAAACATTAATTTAAAACGCAATTTCTCAATTATGATGACACCGTATAACAAATAGCTTCACCTCATTCCCAACTAGCGACATCTTCTGTTTAAGATTATTAGCTCTATACAATACAATAATATTTTCATAAAGATATTAATTATCATAGAAGCGTAGTAATGCGATATTGACTAACTGTTACTATTTCATTCATTTTACCGTGGAAGTGTTTTTAATAAATTACATTTTTATATTGTTTTATACAGTCCGAAGTTGAAGAATTTATGATGCAAAGTAAAAAAGTAAAAGTTACAGCCTATACACGTCCCACAGCTGGGAACAGGCCACCTCTCTGTTCCGAGGGGTTTTTAGGGCAAGGAAATGTCCGCCGCGCTGCCCCAATGCGCGTTGGCGAACTTCACATGTCATGGAAATATTTTTTCTTATTTCTCGGACATGCAGGTTTCCTCACGATGTTTTCCTTCACCGCCGAGCATGTCGTAAATTAGCACTTAAAATTGCAATTAACAATTTCATTGGGATCGAATCGTGGGCAACCCCGCGTATTATGAAATTTACAACCAGTACTTAACCCCCAAGGCCACGGCTCTCTTGCAATGGTTTGTCAAATGACTTTTTTTTATTAATGCATGTTAAAATTAAGAAAATTAAATATACATTATAATATTATACGTATAAAGAATGAACGAGGAAAGGGTGACATGGCAAATTTTTGCTGCGGAAGTGAGTGGAAGTGTCGGCAAGGGAGGCTCTTAAGATAAGTTTAGATCGTTTAGAAGTGTAGATCAAATAGATGATTGTGTAAATTTTCATACAAAAAGCGATAACCACCCCCAACCCTCCCCCCTTCCTAAACATAGTCTAAATTTCATAAATTTTGGAAGTATTGTAGATATAATGAAAAACTACATCTGTACGTTTTTATTTTAAAGAAATATTGCGTACGACATAAGTTATTAGCATCTAAATAGCCATATTTTTGACTTAAAAACTACCTCGAGCGTTTTTGTTAAACTAAACTAAATTTAATTACAAAAGAAAGAAAAACGTACAGACCTAGATAAGGTATATCTAATGAGACTAAAATGGTCTAATTTTGTAAAGGTGAAGGGGGGTGAAAACGTTATCGCCCGAAACAATATTTCAAAAAGGAAACGTAGGCAATTGTCTCCGTGACTTGCAACTCTCTCTATCGCACAATACGGCGATACGGAGCGAGAGGTATGAAACATAGCATTTTTGAATATAGCTACTCGCGTCGCATAGGCCAAATTAAGGGCCGATGAAAAACGAGCATGTATACGTAAGCATGTGGATGTGAGAGGTCTGTCAAAATCGAACTAAATGGAAGTCCATATACATTTTTTTTAATAAAAATATCGATATATATCGTCGATATTTTATATATTATATATATCGGTATGTCGATTTTAGAGTATCGAATTCGTATCAATTTCGATATATTTTAAAATGTTGCATCGTTTTTTTCGTCGTTCAAGATCCTACAAAAAGGAGCAATTTAATTTTTTGATGCAATAATTTTATAAATAATGCAGATCAAATACTAAATTCATAGTGTTTTATATCTCAAAACTTCACTAAAACGGTGATATTGTAATAAATAAAAAGAAGTTGAAACTTAAACAAGGAACAAACATTTCTTTGGTTATCTAAGCTAAATTCATTGTTACTATGAATTAAATAATCTTTCAACACATGTATTAGAAAACAGTAGAATTTCAGAAGACAGAACGATATCGATAAGTGGTGTACATCAACAACTTTACGCTCACTCTATACACTCACCATACGAAACACAGCAGCATTTAGTTGCTATTTCACGCTGGTATTCTGTGAGAGCGAGGTCCTTACCTGACCCATTCCTGCTACAATCATAATATAGTCGCAGCATTAATCTACCAGGTAAAATATCTTATCGGGTAAACCATCCCTCTCTACAACTCCGCAAGTTATTTTTTTAATTAAAAATACTTACTAAAATAACTAACTATTAGTTGGCAATTAAAGACAGAAGCACTGTCTCTCTGGACTGGGCAACGGTTAGTATAACAAATAATGGATTATTTAACCGGAATTTAGTTGACAATGGAGATGTGCAGTAGAATTATCGTTATTAGAAACATGGCACCAGGGCTTTTTGCCACTTTAAGTGATCCGTGTCAAATTCAGCAAAACTAAAACATTTATGGAGTTACTTCAATGTCTGTCTGTCTGTCTGTTTGTTTGTTTGTTTTTCTTTGTTTGTTTTAATTTGTTATATTTATAAAATACGATTAGTATTTCATTACTGTATTATTTCAGAAAACGTTGGCTATAGAAATCTGTAAATCGATTTCTCGATGATAATTCGATGTCTCGATGTTATATTTAATAAAAAATGGACACTAAACTAGATTTGCCTATGTAAAAGGATGACGAAATATATTATTTTAATGCTCACACAATCAAAGATCAGACGATAAAATTGCACACTTCCACAGTAAAATGCCGGCAGTAGAACAAATGCTTAAGTATATAGTCGTTGCCTTAAATATAGTGTGTACATTTAATCTAGACTCTTTTAGAAGTATCAACTTACATCAGTGCATACTTATCTAAATAATTTATACATAAGTTAAATTTGTCATAAATATATACAATTTTTAAGTAAATTTCAGTCTATTGCGGCATGCAATGAAAATATTTTGTAAGGTATTTTTGTATGTATACAGGAAGGCGATGACGAAGACACAACTAATGTTATAACGTAGTCTATACAGCGTCCTTTACACATAAAAAACAAGCGAATACATTTAATGGGTTAGTTATAGGTTTTTTGTTTTTTGTTATTTGACACATGCTGTATATGAAGAGATTCACTGGGGGAATGTAGATAACATCAAGGAGTTATAAAAAAGTAAAGAAACATTCTATATTGGCACTCACAGCTGGGCACAGGCCTTTCATATCTGAGATTCCATCAGTTCATATCTGAGAGGAAGATTTTGGAGCTGGGTAGTGGACATCGTGATGCCCCAAGGCGTGTTGGAAAACTTAACTTTTATCTTTTCCTAGACTTAGATTTTCTGAAGTTTCCTTCATCGCTGAGCACGTGGTAAATCAGCACTTCAAATTGCTCATTGGAAATTTGGTTTTGCTCGCATTTTAAAATAATCGGACATGTGCGTTTAGTCGTTCGAGTTGCCCAAGATGTGGTGCGGACTGGAAATTAATGCATACTAAGGCCGGTGCATTTCGCGGTCTTGTATTAAGTACTAGGTGTCAAGCAGACGTCGTTCTGCACTTTCCGACGACCCTTTTTCCTATAAAAATCCTTAAATTCGTAATTAAAAGAGTTGAAGGTCACTTATCGGGATAAAAACTATCTTTGAAGTTGGACCAAACTGCACACAGTGTGCAAAATTTAATTGAAATCAGTTCAGTAGTTTAGGAGTTCATCGGGGACAAAGAATGCACGTAATTTTTTTTGTTATTGTTAGGCTAGAGATATAGTCATAAGATTAAATGTTGTTTTTTATATTATAATTTTTTTTGTAAATTATTCTAGTCTGTATTTATGTCGTGCTCAAACCATAAATAAATGTGTTTTTCTTTCTTTCTTCTATTTTATGGCTAATGTTTATCCTCTGAGCTACCACTGCTCTCTAAGGAACTTGAACAACCGCTTGTAGGAACGATTGCGATGTTGCCACTCTTAGGGGTCAATGGTCAATAGTTATAAGTTATACAGGTTGTTCTAATTTATTTAAAATAAGATATTTGATTTGTTTGAAAATTTTGCTTCTTTAATTTTACATAATAGAGTACATTATTTTAGAATATTTTATCGGAATAGCAACTATCGTAACTAATAATCATTTGCACCAAAATGGCTTTAGCTGAGTATAGTCGGCTTCACTAGAAATGTACGTGATGTTCTGCTTTACGTACATTTCTAGTGAACTCTCCTTTGTTCGCCTGAGGACAGCAATGTTTAAGTTTTCATTTGTTGCAGCATCGTCATCGCTACCCGTATTTTGAATGCTATTACTGTTTATTACATAAAGATGTCAAATATATGAATAAAATATATTATATCAAAAAACATTTCAAATGCGGCTCGGTCATTCAATTAACAACTCTATTTGTATGAACTATTAAATTCATTTTCACCATATTTACGTAGTATTAAAGTAAATGGCTCTAAATGCAATTAATTCCGGCTATTAGATAAAGATTAACTTTTTTTTAAAGAACACTTATTTGTATTGCATGCTTAATAAAAACGCTAAGTTTCAAACATTTCGTAAACTTAAAAGTAAATAATTTACACTATTATTTAAATAATACAATTTAAAAATCAGTATACTCAAAGTACAATTTCATTTGAGACCTATTAAATACAACAGGCTCAGTACAAAAAAAAACACAACTCAAACGACAATCAACTCAATTGCGTTCACACAAAGATTCAATTTACTAAAGCATATTCGCATTAAGTCAATATTTAAATAATCGTTTTCGCGACCTGTTATTAACGCATATTAGCTAATTTATGCTTGCGACTTAAACAATAAATTAGGAAGGTACGAATAGTGCTACTATTACCCATCTCTTTCTTTCTTGGTACGTGTTAATACTGCGGTCTCACTCGTCGTAAGAGGGTTCAGTGCCGAAGTATCGGTCACCAAAGTTGCCTATTCCAGGAAGTACGTAGAACTTCTCATTGATTTCTGGGTCGAGTGCTGATGTTACGATTTTAACCTGAATAATAAATATTAATAATAAAAAATAGTTTCGTTTAGTTTTTTGTATAATATTTGCAGAAGTAAAAAGGTCCTTTAACTTTAGTGGACGGCGGAGTCAAAAATTGTTTTGTGAATTAGAGTGAACATGTCAAACATGAGACCCATTTGTCCCCACTTCCACTCACTCCATGGACGATTGAGGGGATGAGGGGATAAAATAGACAGCTTCAGTTGACTCAATAAGGTCATTGCGATATTAGTTGGAGCTTCGGTGGCTATGAGATGGGGAGACAGAATTTATTTCGGAAGTCGTCAGTCCACCGATCTCGTGTGCTGTGTGTACATATTGTACGTGTATATGTATGTATGTATGTACGTGTGTACCTGCGGGAAGGCGTACGCGATGGAGTGCACGCCGATCTCGGCCATGAGCAGCGAGACGAGGCTGATGTTGTGCTCGGGCACGTCGTGGTCCAGCAGCACGCGGATGGCCATGATGGCGGCCGCGCCGGTCGCCACCGTGGCGTCCATCAGCACTACGCGGTAGTCCTTGATATCCTTCGGCAGCCGCAGGTAGTACAGCTGCAACCACACCCACATCGCAATGTCCCAATTTGTTGAAACCAATACTCCAATATTTTGCTAGTTTTCGACGACATAATCGTCGAAGGCCCAGTGACATAGCATGTGTAGCTATCGCTTAGAGCCGCAAGTGCAGATTTTACTAGCATCTTTTAAAAAGATAAGAAGCTGGCGCGGAATAGTATTACCATGAAAATTACGTATAATCACTGCATTTGAATGACTTGCTACGATACTGCGTAACGTTTCCCACAACACTTATTGCTACAAAAACCATTACTTCACTAAATGAAAAGCGCATATCCTTCCCAGACACACAAACACAAACCACACGCAAGCACGTATACCTCAAAGCACACACACGTTCGTACGTACGCATCCAAGCACACACACACACACACACACACACACACACACACACACACACACACACACAAAATAAAAAATATAATTTACGTGTATTAAATTAAGCGCTCTATTATTTTAACAGGTTAGTGTCACCTACAGGGAAAAAATAATAATGTTTACTAAAATAAATCGATTACACAAAGTATAAAATCGATATAGGCCGTACCATACATTTGTCCTTTGTTTATCAAATACTAAAAAAATATATGACAACGCCTTTAAATTTTTAATAGCAGTAAAACTTACAAAAGTTTTAAATCATTTTATTAACAAACTACGCATACTAGGCTATTGATATGAAATAGGATACCAGTTGATGTAATTCTGAAGCTAATAAAAAAAACCCGGTCCCGATCCGTCAATTTCTTCGGGAGTTATCGTGACCACATACAAAATCAAAATCCAGACGTCTACGTAATTTTTTTTCCAACCGTTTTTTTCTCAAAATAGCAATATAAAATATATTTTTTAGAAAATATAAGATGGATTAATCTTTCAGTGTTTTCTTGATATACGGCTACTCATATTATCGTACAAGTACAATATAGTTATGATAGAGGCATTTAAAAAACACAAAATTACTTGACCTTGACATGTCGAGAGTAGAACACATCTATAAAGCTTCGCGTTATGGGGCGTGCAATTGTTGTCAACATGAGGCTGTCATCAAAATGTAGAACATTGTAAATTTAATTAATGGATATCATTACGTAGTTTACCTTGAAAAGCTAGGGAAATATACATAATTGTCTTTAACAAATAACTTTGCTTATAAGAACGCAGTATTAAGTATAGTTACCTACACTCATAAACTAAGAGTATACAACAATGTTCTACTAGAGAAGTCTATAAGTACCAAAGAGTATATAATGTTGTCATTACTTGGTGTCATGCCGAATTAATAGTCTATTCAGACGTTGACGGCATTGGACATCTGTGTCTACCATTGCGTATGCTCAGCGTATAAGAATAGAAAGGTTACAAGGTGAAGGTTTCACACCTTCATCTTGTAGATCTTGTAGAGAACTATAAATGTAGATTGAGCGAAAATATTAGTGGTTTGGATGAATTGTGTATGAATGATTTATACTTGGAGATTGTGTGTCATAATGTTAAGAAAGGTTTGACTGATGCAACAACCGAAGTATGTGGTATAATAAAGAGAACGAGTGATAGGAAAAATAATACGTTATGGTGGTGATGATGAGGTATGGATGGAAGTTGAAGCAAAGAAGAGAGCATGGCTAGATTTACTGGACTTACTACAACCAAAGTTGGTAATTCTGGCGGTATGAAATAATGAGATTGAAAGAAAAAGTCTTTGACGTCTTTAGAGGTCTAAATAAAAAAGTAAAAGAAGTAGTTGTAAGGAAAAATCAAAGAAAGAATGAATAAGAACGATAGAAGTATATCTGATAACTTCCAGCTAAATATTAATATAATAGAATAGAATAGAATAGAATATTTTTATTCAATATACATTACATGTGTAATTCTTATTGAAAGTCATTTTTTACTTTACCACTGGTTCGAAAAAACCCTCTGTCCTGGGAAGAACCAGCAAGAAACCCAGCGGGACATTTTTTTTAAATAAATTTTACAATATAAATGATTACGAACTATTTACAAAATTTATTTTAGAAACTGCTTGGAAGCGATCACCTCATTCCCAGGGGTTATTATCAACCATGTATTCATTTATACTATAATAACCCTTTTTATACAGTTTCAGCTTAATAAAACATTTAAACTTGGTAATAGAGAGAACCTGTACACTTTCCGGGACCTTGTTGTAATAGCGTATACATTGCCCCAAGAATGAATTACTGACTCTGTGGAGTCGAGAAGCTGGTATCACTAGCTTGTGTTTGTTCCTAGTGTTTACAGAATGTATATCACTTCTTTTACTAAAACTATCTTTGTTTTTGTGAACATACATTAAATTTTCGTAAATATACTGAGAGGCCAAAGTTAATATATTAATTTCTTTAAATTTATCTCTAAGGGACTCTCTCGGTTTTAGATTGTAAATAGCTCTAATGGCCCTCTTCTGTAAAACAAAAATAGTTTCTGAATCAGCCGCATTTCCCCATGGCAAAATCCCATAAGACATTATGCTATGAAAATAACTAAAATAAACTAATCTAGCTGTCTCGACACTAGTGAGACCTCTAATCTTTTTTACAGCATAGGCTGCAGAACTTAGTCTGCTTGCTAATTTGGATATATGGGGGCCCCACTGTAGCTTTGCGTCAAGAGTGATGCCAAGAAAAACAGTGGATACAACAGGGCTCAATTCCTCCCCATTTAAAAACACATTGGTATTCAGATTTTTAACATTCGTTGTTGTAAATTTAACACAATTAGTTTTATTTCCGTTCAAATGCAGATTATTAACGTTAAACCAATGCACTAATTTTGATATAGCATTATTCACTTCGTCACATTTAAATGATTGACGTTTAAGTTTAAAAATCAAGGAAGTATCATCAGCAAATAATACTATATCATGACTATCCCCTACAAGGTGAGGTAAGTCATTAATATACACCAGAAACAGGAATGGGCCGAGAATCGAGCCCTGAGGAACACCCATTAGTACAGGTGAATATGTTCTGGACACTCCCAAGAACTGCCAGCGGAAATTGAAAACAGCCTAGAATTAATGCAATACGAGACGAGAATGGCTGTATTCTGAATGACAAAGTTTCGAGTTTAAAGAGATAGAAGGAATACTTTGAAAACGTGTTTATGAGTGAGGAGACATTTTAATTAAATTAATTAGAAATTCCGAAAGAGAAAAGAGGTAGGGAGTTAAATACATACATACATAAACACTCACGCCTGTCACCCAGAGGGGGGTAGGCAGAGACTACGGACTTCCATTTGGCGCGATCCTGACACACCTCTCTCGCCTCCTTTACATCCATATATCTATCTACGCACACACGCTCGTCGGTTAAGGGTACTTCCTAATCTGGCCCATTTTTAATGTATCGCCGATTTGGTCGATAAACCTTCGTCTAGGGCGTCCCTTCCCGACCCTGCCCTTCACTTCTGCAACATAAATTTGCTTTGTCACTCTTTCCTCGTTCATTCTTTCTACATGACCAAACCACCGAAGCATTCCTTTCTTAATCCTTGTCACAATGTCCTCTTGCAAACCACACATTTCTCTTATCACACTATTTCTCACCCTGTCATTCAGATTTAAGTCAATCAGCCTGTCAGTAATTTAAATATAGATGAAATAAATAAAGCAAAGAAAAGCATGAAATCAGGTAAGGCAGCCGGCAATGATAGAGTATCACTCGAAATGCTAAGAGCTGTAGAGGGACTGGTGGCAGACCTGCTGTACACCTTATTTAATTTATGTTGGGAACTGAAGCGTGTACACTGGAAGGATGGTGCAAAGCCGTTATAGTCCCAATATATAAGGGAAAAGGGTCACAGCAGGACTGTTAAAATTTACCGTGGTATCAGCTTGCTTAGCATTGTGGGTAAACTATATGCTAAGGTGCTAATAGAAAAAGTTATGAAAGAGACTGATGTAAAAATTTGGGATATGCAAGCAGGATTTAGGATGAGAATGGGGTGTACGGATCAAGTCTTTTCCATGCGTATAATCGCGGATAAGTTCTTGTCCAAAAACCAATAACCGTTTTGTGCGTTCATAGACTTGGAAAAGGCTTATGACAGAGTGGACAGGGATGTGTTATGGTAAACACTGAACAAGTTTGGGTTGAAAGGTGGGTTGATACAGGCATTAAAGTCACTTTATAGGGACTCTAGTGCTTGTATCAGAAGCAACGATGCGTACTCGGACTAGTTTGGCATCCATAAAGGTTTCAGACAGGGCTGTGTGGCTTCCCCGTGGCTGTTTTAACATATTTATGGACAGTTGTTTAGCAAACTTTGAAAGTTAAAGAATGTGGGTTAAAAATGAATGAGTTAACCGTTAAATGCCTTATGTACACCGATAAAGATAATCAAGTCATATTTACGTCGTCAGCGGCCGAGTTGCAAACGATGGTTACATGAATGAACAGGTTAATTAAAAGAAAGGGGAATGAACGTAAGTAAGACTAAAGTGATGATTTTTGAAAGAGAAAACGATATGTAAAATAAGAATAGTAGGGGAGTTGGTTGAGCAAGTGGATGAGCACGAGAGTAGAACAAATAATGTAGAAATGCTGCATCCAGGAGTATGTTAGGGTTGAATCTGAATGACAGGGAGAGAAATGGTGTGATAAGAGAAAAGTGTGCTTTACAAGATGACGTTATGACCAGGATTAAGAAAGGAATTATTCGGTGGTCTGGTCATGTAGAAAGAATGAACGAAGAAAGAGTGACAAAGCAAATCTATTTTACAGAATTGAACGGCAGAGTCGGGAAGGGGCGCCGTAGACGAAAGTTTATCGACCAAATTGGCGATGTATTGAAGATGGGCTAGATTGAGAGTACCCTTAACAGACGAGCATATATGTATTTTTATATGGGTGTAAAGGAAGCGAGAGAGGTGTGTCAGGATCATGCCAAATGGAAGTCCGTAGTCTCTGCCTACCCCTCTGGGTGACAGGCGTGAGTGTTTATGTATGTATGTAATATATAATGTAATAAAAAGTACCCTGTGACGAAATCACTACGTTTTATCCATACTTCTTGTAAAGTATAAATCGATTTTGTTCCTGAATCGAAATTAAATCTTAGACTAAGGCAACCCTATAAGCTTATGTTAATTATTGAATCAAGAAAAACTTTTCATTTAAAAATGCTATTGATTAATAATATACTACATCACATAACTTATTGCATAATTACTAGATTCTCCATACTTTTAAAAATATACTGAATACCGTACTTTGTTATATTTATGAAACGTTATATTGGATTTTACTAGTCCAAGCATCTTAATGAATAAAACTATTTTTACGGATTTTATCGCGTTTAATTAACTTATTTTATATTCCCGATGTTTCGGTTGCTTTCCAGCAACCGTGGTCACGGGGGACTGAGGTGATTGACGTCCCGATGTCAAAGTTAACCCGGAGTACCTTCAGCTTTTTTTTTCAACATTTTTGAACATTCTTCAAGCCGCCGAAGAAGATTAGTCAGTTCTTACCATCCGTCAAGTGCAATATTCCTCTACAAGATGCAGGAGTATACAAGCTTGATTGTGAGTGTGGTCTCTCATATATAGGGCAAACAAAACGATCAATAAAAACCCGCGTAATAGAACACATAGCTGACGTGAAGCACCAACGTTCCGGGAAGTCTGCAGTTTGTGATCATATCCTAGACGGCCCCCGTCATTACATTAGATTTGATAAACCACAAGTCCTCGCGAAAGAACATCGATTCCTGCCAAGGATGATACGTGAGGCTATTGAAATTAAAAAACATCCTAATTTCAATAGAGAGGGAGGCTGGGTACTACCACCTGCTTGGGATCCTGTAATTCATAAAATTAAAACTAAACCCAAGCATACCACTGTAAGACTTCAAGACACAGTTAGTTCATTCTGCGTAGATCGGACTAAAATTAATAATTAAAAAGCTGAAGGTACTCCGGGTTAACTTTGACATCGGGACGTCAATCACCTCAGTCCCCCGTGACCACGGTTGCTGGAAAGCAACCGAAACGTCGGGAATATAAAATAAGTTAATTAAACGCGATAAAATCCGTAAAAATAGTTTTATTCAATGTGTAGTGTTCGCGTAAATATAAGAAATCATTATGTGAACCAAGCATCTTAGAAAAGTGGTCATTGTTCTTTGAATCTCACACAGTACAGACAAGCCGGGCCACCGGAGCACAGCGCGAAAATCGAATTAATTATGTGGCGAGATAAATATAAAATGATTATTGAAAAAAGAAAAATATTTTTCTCAACAAAATATTTTTTTTGTCTACTTAGATCCAGAGCTTTGTCGAATGTAAAATTATACGAGTGATGAGAATCGGAGATTCTTTTTACTGATAATAAGGCTCCACAGCTTAGTCCCCGCATATTAGGCCTCACTAGGCATATTGATTCTTAAATCAAGGATTGATGTAGATATCCACACATATAAGTTACAGTATCCATTTACCATCAGGTGTGAGCAATGATTTCAAAAGGATGGATACGCCCATCTAAACATTTTTATTATACCTTCTTCATATTGGCAAAAATAGCGCCATCTGTCATAACACATACGAACTACACGAGTGCCACGTTGCCTAGTTCACACAATGGGCGCCATTGTGGACTTCGGTAGTAAAATAATTAACGCTTTAAATATGTTTTTATATAATAATTTTATTGTAACAACCACTGTCGACTGAGTCAGGTTGGCCCTAAACTGCCATTTCAGGGCCAGCTCGCTGGTGCCATTTAGTTGCGCGGTCGGTCTGGTCCCTACGCTACAAATATATAAGTCAATGGGTGTGACCTTATTTGTCACCCTTTTATAAAAAATGAGAGAATATTCAATTCCTGCTTGGAAAAAAATTTGTATGGCCTACAATTAATTATGTTATTTGAAAAACTTAAACATAAAATTTATTTGTGCCGCTCTCCGGGCAGAACACCTTGCCCGGCGGGAGATCTCCCCTTTTCCTTCCACCCGCCACAATAGTATCAATTAAGTAGCAATTCTAAAAGATAATTATCACGTTTTTGTAAGCAATATTAAAATTATCTTTTGTGACCTAGCATAAGACGGTTTGCTACTGTAAAATAATTAATAATTAAAAGAAAAAAAAAACAGTCATTTTATATATACAGGTTGTTTGTTCTTGTGTGTCTCAATTTATGTATGTAATACCCATCCACGATATAGAATAAGACAAATTAAAGAAAATAAAAGAAATAAATCTAGCCGTCGTAATATACAATGTGGCTAACCTCGGGCTCGTCAGTCTGCTGGTTGGTCTGTATGAGTATTTTGCCGATGCGTATGTCCTTGCAGACGTCGCAGATGGCCTGTTCCATGGTCTCACCCGCCCGCAGTATCGACACACCGCATATCTTCTCCACGTCACATTTGCGACCTAACAAATAACGATAAATATAAACGACAATAACGTAATGGTTAAGTATGCGACTATAAACAGAATGTTAAATAACCCTATCGAATTCAATAGCGGTAAAAAGTTAAAATACTAATAAGTATACAGAATTTAAATAAAAATGTTTTAACACGAACATTTTAAATTTAAAATATATATTTATTTTAACACAATTTCCCCTAAAATGAGATAACTTTTAAGCCTGACTACACTAAGGGTGAAGCTAACGGTTCAATACGGGACAATGTTCGCTCGCAATCACCGACATCGCATGTTGAGTTTTCACGTAAGATTTTTTCGGTATTTTTTGAAGTAATACTTCTTTTGTGGCGTTTGGGAAAAATGATGTGTGAATTTTTACGATGCGCGCGCACACTGACACCTCAAAGCGACAACTTTACTGGGTAACTGTCTCTCAAGTTTTCTTGAGAACTGATAACTATATTTAAGATAATAAAAACAAAACAAAAATAACTAACTATATTTATGATAGTTATTTTTTTGTTTTGTTACCCTAAAGAAGTATATCTTCCTACGTGCGTACATAAATACACACACACGTTTTTTTTTAATTAAAAGATTTCAAAACATATAGAATCGAATAGCGATACCAAATAACACCCTCGCGGATTGGAAATAAATTTATTTACACCTATTTAGTAGTACATAGAGTGAATAACAGTGCATGACTCATTTAATAAACATCTCTTGTTACAGGTGCTACAGACAGCCTGCAGACAGACACATGAAGAACGACAGCTCACATTCTACTTCTACTCTACCAGCAGTTGCCAGACACAAATCTGAGTACCTCGGTTCCCGGAGGGCCTACCACTCCCCGAGCTTGTTGGTAAATCTTACTTAGCAGTATAGCTCATCGTTAGCAATATTGCTCATCGGTAGCAATATTGCTCATCGGTAGCAATATTGCTCATCGGTATCAATATTGCTCATCGGTAGCAATGCTGCTCATTGGTAGCAGCATAGCTCATCGTTAGTAATATTGCTTATCGATAGCAATATTGCTCATCGATAGCAATGTTGCTTATTGGTAGCAGAATAGCTCATCGTTAGCAATGTTGCTCATTGGTAACAATATAGCTTATCATTAGCAATATTGCTCATTGGTACCAATATTTACCTTTGTAGTTGAATCCTTGTGGAGTGTCGACGTCGACTTCGGAGTATGGCAATAGGGACAGAGCGAACTCTATAACGAGCCGCATCAGCCTCTTCGAGTAGAAGATGAACTCATCTCTGGAGGTGTCCTTGTTGCGGATGAACGTGTGCAGACCTTGCACCTGGAACCAACCAACATCGGTGAATACATGATTTATGCAGATAGACAGATTTTGTTAAGGAGCCGTAAACACCGCGAAGGTATGCACACCAAATTTAGGTCCGTCTCTGAAGGGAGAAGTAAATGTTTTATAAACGGTGACTTACCTGAGGCGTGTCTTTAAGCACATATAGTGAGTCGGGTAGTGGCTGTCCAATGTGAGCTACCGCCAACTTTTCCCTCACTTTGAACCCGCGCTGCAAATAAAAAAATACAGCTTTTTTAAACGTCTTCCTATTCACGTTTAAAATAAAAATAAAATCATGTGTACAGTTCACACGCGGTAGAAGTGAAAACTTTAAATGAAATATAAAACAAAAATGTTTCACGGCACATAATTTACCTATTTCATTTCATAATTATCAACCAAAAGTGCATCAAGGCATAAAATATAAGATAAAAGTTTAATTTTATAGGAAATAAATGTTACAATCCTTATTTTTTAGACAGTAGAGTGTCAATTTTAGTGTATTAAATCAAAAGAATATTTCCTTTCGGCTAAAATTGCTATTGTAATAGCGACATTTACTTCGTTCTATAGTGTGTCCTGATATACACCGTGATCAGTGAGTGTACGGTGTGACGTCATTTCAATATACTGTGAAGCCGTTCCCTTTTAGTTTGTTATACTGGTTACTGTTTAACCTCTCAGGCCCTGACATTTTATTGGACAAACTTAGTCAGAACTATGGTCATGCCAAAGAGTATAGTAGGTCAGGCCAAAGACAATTTTTTTAAATGATGTGAATATAACTTAGAGTCATTACTATGTTCTTATCCAAAAATAAAAAACGATCAACAATTGAAATATCGAATTATTTGTATGAAGGTCAAGTGAGCATTAGAGTAACGACGGTTGCAAGACGATTTATCGATAAATGAAATGTTTTGAGAAGTTATCAATTACCGTGTAGTGGCGGTGTATGAATATTCATATCATTCCGTGGGTTTCGTAAGAGGCGACTAATCCATTGTTCCACGGTACCTTATTGCACAGTAACAAGGTACGTGTAGTTCACTTTGTTTTGTTAATTCAGTGACAGGAATTTTCAAGTTATTTTGGAACTTTTTCACCGTGATGTTATTTATAACTCATGTCTAGAGGGAAATAAATCAGGAGATTGGCAGCAGTGTCTTCCTAATAAGGACTAAAAATAAAAAAAATGCGGTTGCCAACCCGCTTGCCAAGCGTGGCAAACAAATAATAATAATAATAATAATAATAAATATTTATTTCATTTCGAATTACACATGTTGACATACAGGAATCAGAATGATTACAATTAATAAAGTAACAATAAGTCTAACATAAATAACATGCTATGATAAAATTAAAACTATGTGTAGCTAAATAATGTAGAATCTACAAAAGAAGATAGAAAATTCATATTTATAATATTAGCTACCTGCCTGAACTAGGTTGAGTACCTGTGTTTCAGACATCACTTATACAAACGGTTTAATAATGTAGGACACTAGATATTTAAATAATTAAACTAAATTGTATAATAAATAAAATAACTAAATAACAATTATTTATTGCCTACAATTAATACAAACTATTTTAGTATATCTAACAACTTCTCTGTGTCTTCGTAATTTAATTTATTTAGAAATTCCCTTACACTTATATTACAGTCCTTATAACTTAGACTATATACCTTTAGTGACTTGTTGAGCTTGTTATATAGAAAGGGTCCTAAAAATATGTAAAATTTGTTCACAAATGCGTGTTTGGTTTGAGGGTTTACATAAACTAAGTCCATTCTTCTCCTGTCTATGGATTTTAAGTTAAATGGAAGTTCGGTATGTTGTTTTAATATGATTTTCAGGATAAACAACTGACGGACAGTTAGTACACTACATGCCAAGTACAGTTGATGTGTAGGAAACATGAATGGACGGAAAGTGGCTACCTTTAGAACTGCTCTCTGAGCACGTTCTAGTGGGAGCAATATTGTTTTAGAAGCACCACCCCAGGAAGTAATGCCATAAGTGAGTATGGATTGACACAAAGCTAAATAGACCTGTCTTATCAATTTGAAGTCAGCGATGTTACGAAGATATTTAAAAATATATATTAATTTACGAACTCTAGCACAAAGTAAGTCGATGTGCTTGCGGAAATTTAAATTTGTGTCAAACGTGATACCTAGATATTTTATATTGTCTGTTTTTGTTAAAGCGGGACATGCACATGCAATGTCGTCATACGAGTTACAATGATGAGCGTAAATATTAAGGTCAGCAGGTATGTTATTATTTCTCATTAAAAATAACATATATTGTGTTTTATCTGCGTTTAAACTTAGGAGATTATTTATAAGCCAATTGGATACTATATTAAAGCCTTGCTGAGCGTATTTATAAACCTCATCTCGTGATTTAGCTGAGAATAACAGGGCTGTGTCATCCGCATAAGACATTATGACACCATTTTGAAGTTGAAGATTGCATAAGTCATTTATATAAATTAGGAACAATGTAGGCCCCAGGATACTGCCCTGTGGGATTCCAAAAGAACTGTTTTGTAATTCAGTACTTGTATACTCACCGATTTTTACACATTGAAAGCGATCACTTAGATAATCGGAAAAAATTTGTAGTTGAGTTCCCCTTATGCCAAGCGTTTCAAGCTTTTGCAATAGTAAAGGGCAAGAGATAGTATCAAATGCTTTGGCAAGGTCTAGGAAGATCCCAATTGAGTATAAACCATTGTCAAGATTACTTGTGACATACTCTGTCAATTGGTGCAAGGCATCATTACAAGATCTCTTAGGCCTAAACCCAAATTGTCTGTCTGACAGCAAGTTATTAGTTTCCAGATATTTTATTAACCTGGTATTTATGATCTTTTCTAAAATTTTGGATAAACCAGATAGAACTGAAATCGGCCTATAGTTATTAACTAAGTTTTTATCACCAGCTTTGTGAATAGGAGAAACCACTGCTTTTTTAAGCAGTTTCGGGAAAATACCATTTGTTAGGCATAATTGAAAGATATGTGTTAACGGGGCGGCCAGTAAATGTTTAAATCTTTTCAGTATGCGATTAGGTATATTGTCCCATCCAACCGCACAATCTTCTTTTAAGGCAGATATTATACTTAAAACCTCATTAATATCGGTATTTAACAATACAAAAGAATTTAACTTAGAAAAGGATGTGGGCATAAAAATTGGATTACGAGTGTTGCTTAATTTTAAAGTTGTCTCTGCTATTTTTTTTGCCGATATTAATAAAATAATTATTCACTTTATTGGTTGCTTCATTTGGGCTTTTGTCTAATAACAGTAGATCAAGTGGGGGTCCAAGATTTTTTGAACTGAAGGTATTATTTTTAATGAACTTCCATACAAGTTTACTGTTTTTACCGGCCTTTTGTAAAACATTTTTGTCATATTGTATTTTGAGGTTTTTTAATAGTTTATTGCAAAAATTCCTATATCTTTTATAAGTAGTAGAAAGTATTAAATTATCAGGAAAAGTTTAGATTTTAAATGAAGTTTGTCTCTATTTCTTATACAGCGGACGAGACCAGGTGTTATCCAAGGTTTAATATTATAATACTTACATGATAGTTTTATTGTTGATGTATTATTCATTATTGCATATTGTAAAGAATTTATAAAGTAACTCAAGGACGTATTTGCATTGTCAGAGCAGTAAACAACGTCAAAATTAATGCTACGAATGTGATTTTCAAGGTTCGTCATATGGACTTTAGTGTCGTTGCGTATGCAGTTTTTCCTAGGTAAGGCTAATTGTAATGTTAGTAAAATTGCTTGATGATCAGTAAGCAAGGAATTAGTAACTAATGTTAAAGAAGGTTTATGTGATTTAATCACAAAATGGTCTAAACAAGAGCCACTTTGATGTGTAGGGTGGTAATGTGTTGGTAATAGTCCATGAAAAGAGCAAATATTTAGGTAGTTATGTGCATGGTTATCTGTTTTTCCAGGGGTAATGTTAATATACCCTATATGAGGCATTTAGTGGAGGCCTATGTTCAGCGGAGGTTTTTATAGGCTGTAACGGTGTTAGTTGTAATAGCGATAAGAAAAAATGTAGGAGGAAAAAACGACGAACATTTTTTTTTTCTAAATTTAACCTCCGTGGAACACGGATACTCCGTGCGATGTTTAGGGCAGCGTTGCAAAGGTGGGTGATATTTGTACTGTCATCCCCATTTTTCGATACAAATAAAAATATTTATCGTGTACAAGTTTTCCGTTCAACAACAAGAAAAAATATTATTTGAATGTTGTTGCGCTTAAAAGTTAATGTCGGAGTTTATTTGAATAACAATATTAATTAATAATAATAACAATCATTTGCGGAATCTCTTAAATCTCTAGGCGCTGTTATATTTTTGATCACGTAATCAAAGTACTGAGAGCACCTTACCTAGAAAGTGCCAGTGCTCACAGTACAAAAATGTCATATATTTCCCTAGAGTACTGCAGCAGTATATTGGCAGTCCATAACGCATTTTTTAAATAAATTTAATTTTTAAAGCACCGCATTCAGAGGAGACCGAAATAATAGGAAACATTTTATACTGAACTAACTGTTCCCCGCGGTATCAAGCCGCGTATATCACGCCCTGAGCCTCGCTTAGAAGGCCTTCACTGCTGGTTTATCTCGGATTTTATCGGGTGGCTAAACGTCGTTCGCGCGCCGAGCCGAGTGTTGAATTATTTAAATTTTTCATTATATCTTAAACTATGCGTCTAGATAATATGCTATAAAGAGCAAAGTTTATCTTTGCCATGCCTAATAATAACGCTCATATATAACTTTTTAATTTTCAGTACTTTTTATCACTAAATACCTTATTGTGACTTATGTATAAGAAATAAGATTATGGTATCGTGAACTTTTTTTAAATTGAGGAAAGAGTTTTTTTTTGTAGAGCATAGTATTACGTAGGACTAAAATCACTACGTCAGAGCACGCGGATTAAGCAGTTCGGGAGCTCTTATTCTTCCGACTTGCTAAACAAAAATCAATATTTAAGGCTAGCTGAAAGGTGTAGCCTAATGCTGGAAAGCCTATACTAATCCTCGTGAAACTGGCTATTATATACAAAATGAATTTATCAAATCAGACTGGTACTTCCAGAGATTATCGTGTTCAAACAAACAAAAAACCTCTTCCGCTTTATTACATTAGTATAGATTCTATCTCATTCTTTTGTAGGCCTATGATAGGATGGGCCTACGGAAGATTTATATATTTGTCTTTTTCGTTTCATTGAGTTTCAAATCACAACTATGCAACAGAAGTTTTCTACCTCAAAAAATTTGTTGAACGAATTACCAAACTAGAATCGAAAAGACAACTGCAGATCGGACTTATTATTCCTATTAAAACTTGACGAAATTATCACCCGTATTCTCGTGTGTCTTTCTGCAAAAATAAACCGATTGTAATCTTTGACAGAAGCGACAAAAATAAAAGAGAAAATGGACTGTTTGTCTTTTATTATTTTTTTATGTTCGGTAAATTTGGTTGTTGGAAGTTTAACGGTGGTATAAATAACTAATAACTGGGGAATTATAGTAATTTAAGGTTTCTAGTTTTTAAATTAACTAATTTATGGGAAAAAGATCGTCGTTTTATACTCGTTGCAAAAGAAGTTGAGTAGTGGGTCGGTGGGGGAAATCGAGTGGCGCAGTCGTGTACGTGTTCACAATTTTTGCTGTACCGGCGTACGACAACGCCACCGTCACCTGTACCCCCTTTTCCCTAAACCCTTTAGGTCGCTTCCGATTCGGCAGAAAGGCCACACAAGCCAATGCCAGTCCCACAGGTGGTGTTTAGTGGGTAGGCACTTAGGTTTCACAGTGAGTATAACCGCACAGCCGGCTGCGTGGTATGCTTAGAGCATTCACCACCTCCCTCCCCCGCTTCCCAGAGGGTAGCCCTTTAATTAGTTTCTGGGCGAAAAAAGCCACCGTCATGCCGTCATATACTAAAAATATTTCCTCTAGTGTCATTATTCTGAAAGAAAACAGAGAAATAAACAATTTGTATGGACTAAACGCCATCCAGATATGTTCTTAGTGCGTGTATTGTAGTGATCGTGTATGTGTGTACGTATGCACGTAATGTTCGAATGTATGTACGTATGTGTGTGTGCGAGTGCACTCACCAGCTGCAGCTGCTTGTGCACGTGCTGCACTATGAGGTGTATGGCGACGTGGTTCTCTCCGCCGCGCGGCACAATTATATCTGCGTGCGCCATGCAAGGCGCGATGTAGCTCTGGTATGCGGGCTTCACGTACGTCATGTACTGCTTTAGTACGCCCTCTAGGTCTCGTCCGCGTTGCACTATGTCCCTGGAAGTTAAGTATCATCGTCATCATCGAACTTTCTTTTTATAGAATACTTTGTTTTATACTATGTAGAGAAGGGTGACAAACGAACACAGTCCACCTGATATCCTTATAGGATAGGGTGACAAAAGGAGCACACAGTCCACCTGATGGTAAGTGGTTGCTGTGACCCATTGACATCTACATCTATTCTCAATTAAGAACCACAATACAAATGCTTTATCAACCTTGAGAACTAAGATGGAATGCCTCGTTTCCAGTAAAAAGGGTCTCCGGTTCTCTACACTCACCTTACGAAACAGAGTAGTATTAACGCTGCTATTTTACGCTGGTATTGTGAGAGCGTGGTCTTTCCCTGGTCGAGCCGACCCATTCGTGCTACAACTATAACGGTAGTATAGCTGCAGAATGGCTCTACCACGTATAAAATAGACGAAATTTTAATTTTTTACGTCGATAACTAAAGAGTTTTCATTTAATTCGATTTGTTATGAAAAATTATATAAGGTAGTTCAAAGTCTTCAATGGACGGCGGTATACCATAACCTAAAAGTAAAAATTATATTATTCAGATCTTTAGCAACGTCAAAGGTACGAGAAATTAGGTAGTGCAATCACCAATTCGTCCGCCGGTTACGGTAAATCTACAATAGGACAGGCTCCTATTCAACAGTGGGCTGTTATGGACTATTGAAAGTGGAGTTAATGAAATATTCCCATCTATCCAAGTAATCTACCGATGTAAAGAGAAAAGTTGACGTTCAGTAGGCCTTTTAAGTATAATTATGTGACAATATGTATTGACTAAAATATTCTATTCTATTCTTTGCGGGGCGAGGGCAAATTTTTATTCATTTGATTTGAATACTTTTTATAAAGCTATGAAGCGTGTGTATGCGTGCGTATTTGTGTGCGCGCGCGCTTGTGTGTGTGTGTGTGTGTGTGTGTGTGTGTGTGTGTGTGTGTGCGTGTGTGCGTGTGCGTGCGTGCGTGCGTGCGTGCGTATGTTTGCGTGCGTGCTTGCGTGTGTGCTTGCGTGCGTGCGATAAATACTATTTAGAGATTTCTTTTATTTCACTGTCTTTCCCTACGTCTTTACATATTTAAATGGCGGTGGTGAACGCACAATAAGCATTTTTCTATTTCATTGTATTGTATTGTGACCTTCTGAGACGCCTGGCTAGCCGTATGTCTGCGTCTGTGTCGACGAACACCTTCATGTCCAGCATGCGCACCACGTCCGCATGGTAGAACGCCAGGATGCCCTCGAAGATGATCACGTTCGCGCCATACATAGTTTTCTGAGGACGTGCAGATATCTTTCAAGACATGCTCTTATCAGATAGTCTCAGGGGTAAATGATAAAACCTTTATATGACTCAGCCTGCATTTTTGTGTTGCTTACGAAGCGTGTATAGAACCAAGGATAATTCCTATCATGAGCACTGATATAGCTTGCTAGGGCGAACATAGTCTTAAAAACTTATTTTTTATAGAGTAAGGGTAACAAACGAGCACAAAGTCTACCTGATGGTAAGTGGAAGCTCTGGCCCATAGACATCTACATTTCTCATCAATCAAGAATCAAAATGCAGATGCGTGTTGTCACCCCTGAAGACTAATATGAAATACGTCGATTCCGGTAAAAAAAGTCTCTGGTTCTCTACACTCACCATACGAAACACAGCTGCATTAAGATGCTATTTTAGGCTGGTATTCTGTGAGAACGTGTTCTTACCCCGGTCGAGCAGTCTCATTCGTACTACAACTATAATATAGCTGCAGCGTGGCACTATCACGTAGAAGACATTGACATACGTTGCAGTAGAATTGGCCAGCTGAATTGTAATAAACGTAGTGTATGCGTAGAGGGGCCTAGGTCTCTCCATCATGTGGATTGTGTGCTAATCACCCTTAACATCGTAATTTTTGTGGCTAGAGTAACTAGAACGTAATGGTATCTCAATGTTTGTATATTAATTCTGTCTCATTCATTTGAATGGCCTTCTCTCTCTTTCTGTACATTATTTGCTTGCCTAAAATACAGAAGTCTCACTTCTATAATGTGCATTGAGTTGATTTATATTGTGTACATTAGGAATTAAATATATAGCTTATTATTTTTTTCGTATTATTTAACAATCCATATACTAAGGACATCCAATATCAGCACTATGGTCATAATAGTGTAGCAAAATGTTTTTTTGTTTTTATAGAATAAGGGTTTCAATAGTGGCAGAGCCACGCGGCAGCTTGTGCTGTTGCACGGATATGCCGGCTCGAACCGCGGAAGTACCACGAACCCACAGAATACCAGCGGGAAATATAGAAGCTTTGCTTCTGTGTGTCGCTTGGTTATTACAGATGGCCGGAGACACCAATGTGTGATTTACAAGAAGTTTACTTCCTTGTACAACTTCATGTGAAATCGACTACCACCAGCGATTTTCCCGGACCGATACGACTTAAAGACCTTCTAAAAAAAAGAGACTACTCTTTTTTAAAAGGCAGTAGCAGGTGCAGTTGTTCATGGGCGGCGGTAGTCACTTACCATCAGGTGAACCGCATGATCGTTTGCCCCCTCTCATGTAACAAAAATAAAAACTTTTCAAATTTGTAGATTAGATTAAGAATCAAAATTCAAATGTGTTATCACATACAAAACAGCAGCATTGGGTTGCTATTCCACGCTGGTATTCTGTGAGAGCGTGGTCCTTCCCCCGTCAAGTCGACCCATTCGCGTTACAACTGTAATATAGCTGTAGCAGGGCTCTACCGGATGGGTGAATTGGTTGTCTATTTGTTTTTTTATAGAAAATAGAATAAGGGTGCCAAACGAGCACACATTCCACCTGCTGGTAAGTGGATGCAGTGGCACGTAAGCATATTATACAACTATCCTCGATTAAGAATCAAAATGCAGATGCGATGTCACCCTTGAGGACTAAGATAGAAAGCCTCGTTTTCAGTATTCTCTCGCTCTACTTTCTATTACTCTACATTCTGCTATTTCACGCTGGTATTCTGTGCTCTCCCAGGTTGGTGAGTTGGTTGCCTAAAGTTATGTAGGTTTTCAATGCCAAGTAGTGGAGGCATAAAGCAATACACCACCCTATTTTATCCTGTGGTGTGTCTTGTGGTCCGACTGCCTCGTTGATCTAATGGTCGTAAACTCGGTTGCTGATCATGAGGTCCCGGGTTCGAATCCCGGGTCGGACCAAAAATGTTTTGTCCGAAACTTTTTTATATCTTTTATCAAAAAAAAAAACATGCGTTATTCGAATAATTTTAGCCTCCTGGCATTGCAATACATCTGTTGGTTAAGTTTCCTAAAAGTAGCCCGAACAGACATAAAAAAAAATAAAATGGGTTTTCATGTTTCATTAGCATGCAATTAACTCCTTAATACGAGCTAATTATTTCGATATTAAAGGCGGATACTTCAAGTTTCATTTGTATTATCGTTTGTATAATCTATGCTTTCAACTGCACATATATATATCAAACACAGATAATCTAATATATCAAAAATATAAAACTACAAACTCCACAGATTATTGAAAACGGAACATCAGAAATCTTATAATATTCAACTCATTCAACTAATCTGTTAGTGATTATTTTATTGGCAACATTTTAAAATTCTTTAGCGACAATATCTACTCTGTGAAACTGTTTGACCATAGACTATGTGTTTGAAAATTTACATTGGCAGTATGAACGTACTCAACAAATGATTAATTTTATTTTAATTAAAGTATTTGTAACATATTATGTGTATATATACTTTTTAGCTTTGTGCACTCCTTATACAACTCATCCGGGCGCAAAAAATACTTCAAAGGGGGTACAAAGTTTTCTATTTACGCATTAATATATAGATAGACTAAATAAATGTATTCTATGCTATACTCACAGTCCGACTTTCCCGCGCGTGTGTGACGTAGTTGTATATGGGTACCTCCACCTTCTTGCCCTCCTTGAGCCTCTGTAGCACGGTCACCAGCAGATCCATGTCGAACGCGTCCGGGTGGTCGAAGTTGTATTCATTGCGCTGTGCCGCTTGGTGTTGCTTCTCGTTCAAAACCTGAACGCCACCAACAACATATATCTCACAGTTTGGCAACGTGGCTTACACTTTTAGAGATAATACTGGTGTACATTTTTGACATTTTATGCGCGCGAATAAAAGAAGGCCATCCGGCCGCATCAAGGTACTCGATTCGCAAGCGGCAAAGAAGACTCTGAAGAAAATATTCCCTCTAATGTTCTATAAATAGATTAATTAGTTAGTAATAAATTTCCCCATAATTGTAAATCTATACAAATAAATAAAATTGAAGTGTCTGTTTGTAATGTCAAAATTACAGTTTTTTACTAAATGCATATGAAAGTAAATACGGTACTTACAACTAAAATACAATTTTTAAAATTTTTGTCTGTTTGTCTGTCTGTCTGTTTGTTCCGGTTAATCCCCGAAACGGCTGAACCGATTTCGACGGGACTTTCACTGGTAGATAGCTGATTTCATAAGGCGTAACTTAGGCTACTTTTATTTTAGAAAAAGAATTAGGGTTCCGCACAAAAACTTAAAAACCCTAACACACGGACGAAGTCGCGGGGAACAGCTAGTAGTGTAATAAATAGTTTAAATTGTCCCACCTTTTCTTTCTTTATACAGTCCTCTAAGCTCAGTAAATTAAAGTTATCAAAGTAAAATACATACAGTATACTTAAACTCAACTCCACAATTAATTCGACTCTACCGTCTAAACTAACCCCAATAGCCACTTAACACTGATGTGAATTTTTTTGTTACACAATGTCATTTATTTAAAAATTATTCCAAATCTTTGCTGTACGTATTGCCATAGATATAACAACCCGTTTTGTTTAAATGCATAGGGTCAAATGAAATACCTTTAACTTTTAAAAAAGAAAAGCATTTTTTATTGATTTTTTATGAAATATAGTGTGATTACGTAAGTTTTTATAGTCAAATTACTAAACCCAGAACAATTACTTGTGTTGGGTTTATAATTGCTCTGGGTCTGGATATTAGTTCATGTATAAAATGCAGATGCGTCGTCACCCCCGAGGACAAAGACGGAATGCCTCGTTCCAAAGAAAAATATGCAACTATTTTCTGCTATTTCACGCTGGTATTTTGTGCCAGCGTGTTCCTTCCGAGGTCGAGTCGACCTACTCGTGTTGCAACCATAATACAGCTACAGTGTACCTTTACCACGTAAAATAATAATAAATATGTTAAAATGATACACCAACTATGCACTTACTTTATAAAAAGAGTCCATGCTGACTATAGTGACCCACGGTATGTTGAGAGATTCAATTATTTTAGCTGCGACCGTTGTTTTACCTGAAGCACTCGCACCGCAAATACCTGAAAAGGAATCAGGAATCATCTTAATCCGTAGTAATTAATTACAGTTAACTATGTTAACTTTCTATAATGTTTAACGCTAATAGCAACTATCAAAATTAATGGGAATAACATATCTTATAGTTCTTGAAAATCACGAAGTCGAGCGGGCTTTATTCATGTATGAACGTGTACATGCACATTGCGATGTGTGCATGTGTGACGGAGCGATCAGTTGCGAGCGTGCCCGCTTTAAGTCTCAGGGCGCTTTTAGTGTCACGCGGATTTGCTCACGCACGCGGGATTGGACCGCATGCGTAAAATTTCACGCTGCGGATCATACGCAGCATGAGTTTCAGTTTTCTACGGGCTGCGTAACGGTATAGACGTGTTCAAAAATGATCAATGTCAGAAGAATATGTGTCGCTTACATACTTTACAAACGACGAAACAAGAAGACAAGAGTACATGTTGATCCCTTTCTTGAAAATAGGCTTCTTGCTGGGGCGTTTGTTACACGCTTTGGAAAACTACAAAATAATGAACGTAAATTTAAAAATTACTTTCGAATGTCCATTCGTTCTTTTGATGAACTGTTGTGTAAAATTGAGAATAAGCTACAAAAAAGCAGTTTACGAAGGATTACAATACAACCGATTGAGAGGCTCGCTATTACATTAAGGTAAGTTTTAAATTTTAAATATTTAATTTCCTGCTATGATTTAGTGGAAAGGGATTTGAACAGGTAGGATAAACGTTTTTTGACTTCAAATTACTGTCATGTGTAAATTTACATGTGCAAAAAAAAATTTTGTCATGTACTCTGAAATTTCATTGTTCATAATTTCATTCAATTTCATGTTGAAATTTCATTAAATAAGATTATTTCACTCATAAAATGTCGCCATTAAAGTGGAATCATTCCTACCTTTCATCACACGCTACTTATTATAATATAGATAAAAGTTATAGGTTTGCACATGACAGTAATTTAAAGTCAAAAAAAGTCCTTAATTGGTTTGGGATTGGTACGTTCAACCTACATACACAATCCTTTTTTTATCTGATAAAGTACACATGGCCACAGATCAAGTTACCCAAAACCAGCATAAATGGAACTCGCGCCTTGCGTATTATCATACTTAGGTAACCCGTCGGAGTCCCGCTTATACTGGATTTGAGTAACTTGATCTGTGCCGTGTGTACAACCGCACTCATATGACTAAACAAACAATTAGAGAGAAACTGGAGAAAAAAAGTTAATCGTACTCATTTTAATAAAAAGAGTTTTATTCATAAATTAAAAAATCAAATTTTACATCATTCATTTCTTTGTAAATTTGTATCCTGAGCGTTGACATTACTTTCGCCTGTAGATGATGTTGTTGCTGGGGTATAAATTACGTCATAAGACGTGATATTAAACAGGCCGCTTTCAGTCGAAATAAGAGTTTCATTGTCATTCACTGCAGCAGAACTAATAGCATTGTCGTTAAGACTCGAAGTATCCTGGATTATACTATTGGTTTGGTAATCTTGATTTATCGGTGACAAACTGTCAAGCTCAGTAAAAGCACTAGAACTTGTTGTAGGTATGGGACTGTAGTATGCAGGTTGTGTTTGACTTTCCATTTCCATAACTATATTTAACACTTTTGTTCTGAACATTAGTTTTTGATATCTAGTGAATCTTTTTAATGAAGGCTGCAGAGACTGAAAGAAAGCCAAATCCTCACTTTCTAGCTCCAGTTGATTAGACTTTAAGCATTCTAATAACTGTGCCTCAAATTCAGATGGTGCTTGCTTTTTAGATTTTATTTGTTTTTGTTTTGATGTTGGGTGAGAACTTTCTTGACGTGAAGTATCTGGTTGCGTGGACTCATTAGGTGTTTCTAAATTACTTTGTTCAGACATTTCTTCACAGAGTGACTCTTCTCCAGCAGTTTCCGTTGTACTGTCTAAGAAAGTCAAAATGTCATAGTAAGAATATTTCTTCTTCTTCTTCTTACTCCCAGAGCCGGATGGCTGATTTTTTTCAGATATCTTGTCTTTCTGGTAAGTGTCCCTTGCTGTTCGCCAGCGTTGTTGTATTTTCTTGTCTGAAATGACAAAATATAATAAGTAAGTGGCAAAAGTACACACAGTTTCAGATCAAGTTACCCAAAACCAGTACCAATAAACGGAACTTGCTAGGGCCTCGCCGGGCGCCGAGTCGTCTACGATAATAAACAACGCATGAGTCCTGTTTATACTGGTTTTGGGAAGCTTGATCTGTGGCCGTGTGTACAAATCTGATATTAGTTGGAAATTTAACTGCATTCGATTAAAGGCCCTCCTTAATTCACACATGTTGTCAACTTTACACTGTCTCATGAAGCATTAGATAAATCAAGCAATATATATATACCTATACAGAGTGGAAAAATAAGGCCGCAGTTGAAGGAAAAGTACCCTTAGGCGCAACGCAAACGGCGGGCCGGCGCAGGCCGGTCAATTTCGCCGCGAACGATAGCGCAAAGTGAATCTTATACTAGACGCAGACGGCGCGGCCGGGGCGGCGCGGCGCAGACATCGACGAAATAATTCATTTTTTACAAAAATAATTAGAACTTCATTTAAGGATTTTTGGAAAAACACCGGATTGAATCGGGCAATTTGTTTATTTGTTACAGTAAAATTTGCCATCATCAAAATTAAGGTGAAAACTTCCGGAAGTCACTAGCGCTGTAAGTTTTTAATTTGTTTTAACAAAAATTTGCTTTATTTGCATCTGTCAACCTTCATGAAGGAGGACATCTTGTAATGTAAATATTGCCTGAAATAAACGATATTTCATTATATTATATTATATATATTTATTAGATTCCTTTCATTTGCCGGAAATTTTACCATAGGGGTTAATTTATACAGAGAAGATTTCTTATAAAATATTTACAGCATAGTTATGTGTCTCAAATCTGCTAAAAGTGGCCACTTTTAGCAGATATGAGATACATAACTATACTTCGAACTTTTCATATGAAATCATAACTGCATAAATACCCCCCTATGATAAAATTTTCGGCAAATCATAGAAATCTAACGTAGCTATAGTACTGTAGTTAAAACGAATTAAAAACTTCTAGCGCTAGCTACTTCCGTGCCCTTTCACCTTAAGGGTATTTATTTTTCTTCTGAAGTAAAATTCGAGCGGTGCATGCTGTCTTATGTCTGATGTCAGCATTATTAATATATTATGTTATCATATTATTAATATATTGTTTTTGTTTTCAGATATTTGGCAACTGGTAATACATTCACTGATCTACACTATTCCTATGTGATTGGAATTGCAACAATTAGCGAAATAGTAAGACAAGTTTGTTACATAATATGGATTGAACTAAAGTCTGAATGTATTCCACAGCTTAATGGGATCAAATGGAAAGAAATCGCAGAGGGATTTCTCACATATACAAATTTTCCTAATTGCTTGGGTGCAATTGATGGAAAACATATAAGAGTGATTCGGCCGCCGCACAGTGGATCACTATATTTTAATTATAAGAAATATTATTCTGTAGTGCTCCTCGCAATGTGTGATGCTGATTATAATTTTACATATATTAATGTCGGTACCAGTGGAAGCAACGCCGATTCAACCATCTTTAGAAGGAGTCAATTGTATACGAAACTGGAAAGTAACACGTTGGGTATCCCTGACCCGCAAGAGTTGCCTATTATTTGCCCCGAAGTAGCTTATCCATCTAGTGTAAGAGCAAAGTTGCCGTTCGTGATAGTGGGAGACGAGGCATTTGGTTTATCATCACATGTGATGCGGCCTTATGCTCGTGATAATTTACCTTACAAAAAGAAAATATTTAATTACCGTCTGTCCAGAGCTAGAAGGTACATAGAATGCACTTTTGGAATTATGTCAAATAAATTTAGAATATTTCACAGATCCATGAATGTCAAGTTAGATCTAGCACAATTAATAGTCAAGACGGCATGTGTACTTCACAATTTCATAAGGAAACGGGATGGCTACAAGGTCAGCCATACATTTGTCACAAATGGTTTTACGGGACCACTACCCAGGCAGCAGACTGAAAGTAGTAATACGTCGGCAAGTAATATCAGAGATATATTTGCAGATTACTTTATCAATGAAGGAAAAGTCTCCTGGCAACACCTATATATAATTAATTAACTAAACTCAAAAGGTTTTAGAAGGTTTTTGATGTTATTTGTGAATTAAATAATTATGCTTATATTAATAAAGTAATGATGCTTGTATAAATAAAATAATGAACCAAACACATACCCGCCTCTTTTCTTTCCTCTTCGCTCAAATTTTCGTAGTTAGGTGCCAATTCCTTCAAAATATCTCTCCATGCAGCCTCCCTCGCGTCCCTGTGTTTGTATAATTCATTGCGTTTATCCCACAAAACGGGCCGCAGATGAACTTCAATGATTACTCGTTCTGTATCGATTTTCATTTCGGTAGTACAATACGGCGCGTGCGCCCCGCTCGACTCTAAAATGGGCACTGAAGTTGTAGGCAGCGCTTACGCATGCGGATACCCCGCACCGGGGTGACGCCCCGCACAGCGCCCCGCGTCCCGCGTGCGTTTATCACGCTTTACAATAGATACCTATATGAAATTGTTCTTTGCGGATGCTACGCATGCGGTCCAATCCCGCGTGCGTGAGCAAATCCGCGTGACACTAAAAGCGCCCTCACGCACACTTTGATACCTGTTCAGATACGTGTTTAAACAAGTAAAGCCCGCTCGACTTCGTGAATTGCAAGCACTATTTTTATAGACGTTAATGACTACAGCAAGTCAACTAATAATACCGGTTACTCGACTCCAAAGAGTTAGTTATGCCTTCGTGAAATATGTCCAGAAAAATGCACGACCCATATCAAAATTTTTTACAATTGTAATAAAAAAGCATTGTTAAATAAGGGTTATTTATACCGTTAAAGAGTATATTATTCGTAATATTTAGTGGAAACGAGGTGATTGTTACCATGCCATATATTATAAACTAGCTGTTCCCCACGACTTCCCCCGCGTTACTATTGGATTTCATAGGTTTTCATTTTTTCGCGCGGAACCCTAATTCTTTTACTTAAATAAAATTATTAATATAACATCAGCTATCTGCCAGTGAAAATACCGTCAAAATCGGTCCAGCCGTTTCGGAGATTAGCCGGAACAAACAGACTGACAGACAAAAATTTAAAAAATTGTTTTCTGTTATAAGTACCGTAAATACTTTCATATGCATTTAGTAAAAAGCTGTTATTTTCACATTACAAACAGACACTTCAATTTTATTTATTTGTATAGATTAACATTTGAAAAAGTCCTGCTAGGTTTCTTGCTTGTTTTTCCCAAGGACAAGAATTATATAGACCAGTGCACAGTGGTACCGTCATAGGTCATTATATTGAAAAATCAATGTCTGATTCATGACGTCATACTATTCATCATTACTCACTATAGAAGCCATACTACACGACACTATATAAGAAATCTTGATTCCGTCATAACATCATTAACACAGAACACAAATACTCTCTACCGAGAGATCATTAACATTTTGGCATCGGAAGTGACAACATCGAAGTACCGCGCTCATTAGCGTTATCAGTGAACTAATTAGTCACTATATTTGTGCCCGCTCAAATCTGGGAAAAGTACCATTGTGATTGTTGTTTATAATGGAGTTAGAAATTCAAGGTATGTACAACATTTACCATATTTTAAATTCAATTTTACTTATGACATGTTTAGTTTTACTGCTAAAAAATAGTATTAATTTTTTAGATCTTTTTTGTTAAATAAGCTTTTCCCTAAGTTCTTAAAATTTTTAAGGGATGTATTTTGCGTCGATATGTTCTTTAATGTTTAACGTTTTTAATCAAAGCTAATTTAGGTGCTTAAAGTGCTCTGCGCTCTTCTAGGTAGTTCGTAGCACCCGTGCGACGGTCTCTACGAACATGCTACAAATGATTTTTTAATTTAAAAAAAAATATTATTTATTTTACCAGGTACTTCTTATAAATACACATTTACTCGTATGCATTTATTGGACGTTTGGAGAACGATAAAGGGCAGCATGTCGGAGACAGACAAGGTTCTAAGTCTTTCATGAGTTAATGAAGTCTGTTCCGGACTTCGAGAACATGGATTCCGACAGTCTACTGAACCGCGTGAAATACATTTGCACTAGGACATCTATATTTTGGAAGGAGGCTAAAAGATGAAAGTCGAAGATTGTCGAAAAGCATCGCGACTGGCTGAACGTTGTACGTTGCACGCTTACCGCGTCTACGCAGCCTGTTGAAAATACTGATTCAATGCCCTGCACCAGTGTAGTGCAGTAGTGCTGGGAACCGGTACAGAAAAAACTTTGCAGATTACAGCAAGCGTTCACAGTGTCGCAGGTTGGCTAGCTTATTTCAGGTAGATGACTCTGCAGTCCTTTTTTGCGTTCAGTTTTGTGTTACTAAATAAATCTGAAAAACCCCACTTTTTCACAATTCAGAACCGAAAAGGTTTTGTCTTTTATTGTAAACATCAGTATTTATTATTCAAAGAATTAATTCACTCTAAAATTTCAAACGTCTTGCCTTCATATCAAAAAGTACTGGATGCGAAAAAGCGGTGTTATCTTTCCGAAGAACGGATAACAGAATCATCGGCCGAAGTAAACTTACAATCTTTGTTAGATCATACGTCTACTTAGATACTTGAATCCCTAAAAGAAGTATTAAGTACAATGTCTACAAAATCCTGTGAAGATTTTTTTACGGTAACATAGTTTGGACGGTAGCACGGGACAAATTGAATATAAACAAAGTTTTTCGGATTCAAGTATCGAGGATATAAATTTATTTGTTACTTCATCATATGTTAGTTTGTATATCAAACACCTCAGAGCCTGATCGCATAATATGGAAAAATCTTCGACCTTCATCCACGAGGTTTTGTAGACCCATTCGATTCCAATTTGCCAAAGAAACTAAGGAGATTTCTGTGTAAGAAGAAGCTTAAATCACAAACCAAATCAGCAACATGCAATCAACGCCATTTTTTTCGATTACCGTGATATTAGAGTACAGCATTCTCTACAACTGACCATGGCTGATGGTAAAGTATGTGTGGTCTTAATGAAACATCTTCTATGACCTGTTACATCTGTGGTGCAACACCTAAGCAGATGAACGACATTCAAAGTTCTTTGAGCAGACCTGTAGATTTCTCTAAATTTCAGTTTTTTTTTATAGGATAGGGTGAAAAGCGAGCACACAGTCCACCTGATGGTAAGTGGTTGCTGTGGCCCATAGACATCTACATTTATCCTCGTTTGCGAATCAAAATACAGATGCGTTGTCACCCGTGAGGACTAAGATGGAATGCCTCTTTTCCAGTAAAAAGGGTCTCCGGTTCTCTACACTCACCATACGAAACAGCAGTATTAAGTTGCTATTTTACACTGGTATTCTGTGAGAGCGTGGTCCTTCCCCGGTCGAGCCGACCCATTTGTGCTACAACTATACTACTAATAAAGCTGCAGCATGGCTCTACCACGTAAGAAAATTTGGCTTATCTCCATTCATACATAAGATTTTTCGAATATTTCATACACCTTTCATATAAACTTGACATAAAAAAATGGCAGGCGCGTTCCGATGAAGACAAGGCTCTTGTTGCACAGATAAAGCAACTTGTTCAACAGAAATTCAGGGATCGATTGGGTTTAATAGTTGACAAATCGCGTAGTTGAGGAAGTGGCACCTCTAATAATGGAAATACGTCGCGTAAGTTTTTTTTCAAAACTCTGCAATTTCAGCTGAAATTACAGGGATTGATAAGGAACTGATCGAAAGATGTTGGCACTTGCTGCAAAGTCTTTCATCAGGTTATAAAATTAATACGAATAAATTTAAAGAATACGCTCTACAAACTGCTGAGATGCTTGTCCAAGCGTATCCTTAGAATAATTTACCAGCTTCTTTGTTGAAAAAGCTGCAGAGTCATCGGATAAGAATATTAAATTGTTTAGACGACAGAACACTCGTAAAATGTCACGAGTTTTGCCGAACACTGACCTTTTACACATACTTCTATTAAATTCTGATCCTTTTGTATCAAGTTTGCGAAAATTGCCATGTAAAAAGAAATCTTTATTATCTACAGAGGTGTTGGATATGTTAGATATATAAGTTAAAATAAATAAATAAAATCTATTAGTTAAAATTTAGTATTTAGTAGTAACTTTTTCATCCTTTTAATTTTTTTATTTTTATATTCTTTTTTATACGATTAAATGTCTGTTTATAAAAAATATACTGTCTTTTAGTTGTAAACTACCTCAACTGTCACCAAAATATACTTTTATTTACGTTAGCACACATTATCAACGATATTTCTCATATTGACTTCCTATGACCGTCCTTCTTTAGAGCGCGGGACCACTGCGCAGTGGTGAAAGCATGAATGGCTTTCAATAAGTATTCCTGTAACCTATTCAATATAGGTTAAATAATATATAAAATAGTTCTATTCTATTGTTAAGTTTCATATAAAGCGTACAGGGAGAGTTTGATCTCCGTCGGCATCGATGAAACTGTTAATTGCAATTTGAAATGTTGATTTCTCACGTGTTCGGCGATAAAGGAATCTTGGCGAAAAAACAAAAGAAATTGAAGATATTTGATGACTTGTTGTGAACAGTTTCCGACAGCGCTGCGGTCTCTTCATCGTTCCAAAACCCTATCAAATGAAAAGAGGCCTGTACAAGTCGCGGCACGTAAGTCTAGCGCTGAACGAAATGTGGAGTGGACGCGCACGAATTGAATTGCACTTGCGACTGGAGAGCCAATCAGCGCATGCGAACGTAATGCACGAGCCAATCAGCGCGACTTACGCGCAATAACGGTCAACGCTAGACTTTCGTGCCGCTACTTATACCCAGCAGGGGGATGTAATTTTTATTTCACGAAAACACCAGTCTGCTTACCGCTGAATAAATTAGGATTTAATAACTGAAAGATTTATTGTAATCGTAACATTCAAACACTACTCTACTTTAGTGGGCTGGATAATAGATATTTAGGTCACGCAATGTTTGCCTACTGTTTAAAGTATACTTATGTCACTAGTTTTCTTCCGCGTACGACCTCTCTGTGGAATAGCTTACCACCGGCGATTTATTCGGACCGGTGGGTATCGGTATCACGGGGAGTGCTCTGAGGAATTGTTCGGACTAATTCCAGCCGCTCAATTTCACCATCGCACATCGTGACAAAACTCGCGATACCATCCATACCATCTGGATGATTGGCGGTCCACCACCGTGCGATTTAGAAGAAGTTTACTTCCTTGCACAACTACCTCGTGGAATCGATTACCACCAGCGACTTTTCGGACCGATACGACTTAGGGACTTTCAAGAACAGAGCTTACTACTTTTTTAAAGGCCGGCACCGCACCTACAATTCTCTTGGTATCGCAGTTGTTCATGGGCGGCGGTAGTCCCTTACCATCAGGTGAGCCGTATGCTCGTTTGCCCCCTCTCTCCTATAAAAAAAAACTTATGTATATAGCCAATGATATTTATATATTATAATAAGTGAGATGAGGGAAGTAAAGACTGTGTAAGAACCTCCTCCGGAGTTATAGCCGAAATAAGAATTTTTAATTTGTTGGTTTTTGGCTATTTTGACCCCTTAGGAGTGTAATGGGAACTTTTTACCCCTATTCAACCATGACCCCGATGACATCCTCTACATGATAGGCTATTCAAATTGACTATGCCTAATGTTCGAGCCACCCCACAATTTTTTGGTTTTTGGCCATTTTGACCTCCTAGGAGTGTAATGAGAACTTTTTGCCCCTATCCAACCATGACCCTCATGACATCCTCTACATGATAGGCTATTCAAACTAACTAGGCCTAAAGATCGAGTCACCCCCAACTCATTTCTTGTCTTTACTTCCAAATAATAAAATGCGATAATAAGATGCGTTACTAGTAAGCCAAAACTGAAGTGTGGGAAAGTGTTCAATTAGCCACTCCGGCCCTTGACTAGCAAATATGACGCAATGATTACGTAATCTTGAAGAAAATGAAAACAATAGACGTTCCAGAACTAGTGCGATAAGAAAACGAAGAGCGAGAGAGTGTAAGTACAAGTTACAGTAGTGAAATGTAAGTAAAATATTAAAATCTCTGAGACGGCTGGGCTCAGCACAAAGTGGTGCAAACATAATGCTTCCATTACTAGACGGAGCTACAATCTGAGCGAGGCTGTTCAAAGATAGCATTAAGCAGTACACCTGGACTGACGCAAGCTGATGATGATGACGATTTAAATAGTTCCATGATGATTTAAAACGGATATCGAGCCTTATGTTACGAATATTTTTAGTTTTTTAGTTAACAGACTTCTAAAGACAATAGTCTTAAAAAAAAAACAAAAAATATCAAGAATCGACTACATTCTTGATATTTTTTGTTTATGTCATAGACAAGAAATATACACTTTTATTATAGACTAGCTGTGCCCGCGGCGTAGCTCGCGTATACAGGTTTTACATAAAGAATTTGTCGTTTAGGTAAGAGAATATTAAACGATTTATTTCATTACTCATCAATAAGTGGTAACAAAATAAATCATTATCATCAAAGTTCTAAGTCGTTTATGATAGAGCTTCTGTGTAAACGACGTTAGAAGTTTTGTTGAACCTTTTTGTGTTTACCCCGGCTTAGCCGGGGTATACACAAAAAGGTTACGGGGGCTACTAACGCGGAAAAAGCAACATAGAGTTGGCCATGTGCAAAACAGTCAGTACTGAGGTACACTCCTACAACGCGTAAAGTTTGACCTTGCGCTTTATTTACGGTCATCGCATAACACACACTCACTGTAACTGGGAACTGAACGCGCTTAAAACTGAAAGGAAAGTTACTTCTTAATAGAGGGTTTTTGGGCAGTGCTGCCAGATAAAAAAAACTCATTCAGATCTAGGACAACACAAAAAGCGCTAGATTTCATGAAAACAGCGCTTTAAAAAAGCCCTAGATTTCGCGCTAAATTAACTACAAACAAAGTTTGTGTTTATATAATCATAATAAAGAAAACAACATTAAGTTTTTTTTATGGCAATATTTTTTTGATGTATCAATACTTCGCAGGACATCGACTTATAATTATAGCAATTGCTGTCAACAGTAGTTAGTACTGTACGAACAATAAAAATGTCATTAATTGTTTTAAAGTGCAATGTATTTCGCAACTTAGTTTCAGATGTCAGCATCTGATTGCGGTTGCTACACAGTTTCTTTGTGTTATAACTTCTAAGTAACTTTTAACTTAGCTGTGCTCTAAGCAACTGACTAAAACTGAATAAAGCAAAATAAATGCGTTGCCAAAACCATGAACGAAAACTTTAATAAAGGGGATTTCCCCGCTTATAGTCGTCGGTAAAAAAATCAAGTTGATCATCCTAAAGGGGAAGCCAGGAGATCCATAGCACAGGGTATCCTAGTTTGGACTCGTCTCCCATGCTCTTTATTTTGTGGAAAAAATATGTTTGAAAAAGATAAACTGCAATGTACTATTTGTGGGAAAAAATAATAAAGGTCATTATTATTATTATCGGTAATGTGGACTAACAGTGCTGCTATAAAAGAGTTAATAACCCGCTAGTCGCTAAAATATTGAAATGTGTGCTAAATACACCAAAAAGCGCTGGATTAAGCGCTAGGTGCTAAAATTTCGAAATGCGCGCTATACATTCCAAAAAAGTGCTAAATCTAGTTCCCAAAGCGCTAAAATGGCAGTTCTGATTTTGCGTATATTATAAATACATTATCACGACATTTCGTTGCAAAATTTTTATTTTTGGTCGGGTTCCGTTGTATGGCTTCGATGGATACAAATTTCTTCAGTAAGTCTAATACGATTCATCGGCGAAAAATCTCAACACAGCAATTCAGAAAAGTTTGTAATTTGTACAACTCCATCTATTACGTCCTTTGTGTGAGAAAACATCCTATCTCTTTTTGTGTTTTAAGTATAAATATATTAATTATTATGGAACGTTTTTTTTACACAGAAATCTTTTTATTACTATTTCTGAGATTTTATTGCGCCATTGAACAAATTCGAACCTACATTTCAAAATAATAATTATTACTTTCGATAAAATGAACCAATTTTAATAAAACAAAGATTAAATAAAAAATACATTTTCACAACACCACCATCTATCGAAGAAATGGGTTAACTATTGTGCTTCAGATTTAGTTAATAAGGTTAATATATTTTTGTATAATATATTTAATACGTTCTTTATTACTTTTGTTTACTGCGTTTTAGATATACATAATTATATCATTATTTTACATAATTTAACTATGATTTATGATATGATATTAGTTTAAAATGCACTTGATGACTCAAACAAAGCCACCGTTGAGCAAATTCGTACCTATACTTCCCTACCCATACTTCAGAATATTTATTATAACTTTTGATGGAATGAACTGATTTTAATGAAATAAAGACTAAATGTAACCCGAAGATACACTTTATAATTTCCTTAACAATTCTTATGATATAAATTAGTACTTTATACGTGATACGTTAACAAACAAACAGACAGACAGACAGACAGACAGAAAATTCTAAAAATGGTGGAAATGTATTTAATTACTTATTTTTAGTACCCCTCAATCACTTTTATTACAAAAATAAAAAATGTACAGACATCTGCTATTTACAGTTTTATTATATGTATAGAAGATATTATTTGCGGTATTTGCGCTGGAAAAACTCTTCAGAAAACCTAACATAGTAATCTAATGAAAGAATGTTTGAAAGGACTTCAAAAATGTAAAGTTTAGTTACTCGTATATTTGGTATTTTTGTCTTTTTTGCTCTCAGACGCGGTACGCTTTACGGGGTGGACGCTTCACTTACCTATAAGGAAGGGTTCAACCTCCTGGCCTCCGGTACAATTGTACCAAGGGGGCCGGCCGGCTGTGTATATTGTACGTCTGTCGGCATGCAGTATGCTTTCGGCAGCCGTGCGCTTCGTCGACTGCGACATCGACGCGGTACGCACGCGACGCGCACGCGGTGATTTTGTAATGTTGGAACCTGTAAAGCAAATTGAAAAACTGAGTACAAAAACGCATATAACCGCTTCCTTTTATCAAGTGTAAACAAAATATCTTTTATTCCTTAACCATGTAGTGGCGATGTAAGAATATCCACTACCCCATATCGTCCCGTGGGTGCGACAGAGGGAGACTGGAATAGGAGATGGGCAGCAGCATCTTCCTGATAACAATTCAAAGTTATAAAAAACTGCGATAGTCAAACCGCCTGTGACACGTTTCAACTAAGGCAAAATCTCTGCTATGGGGCAATCTATGCGGGAGGCCTATGTTCATCAGTGGACTCTTATTAGGCTATAATGGGTGGATGGATGGATAGAATTCCTTTTCTGCCTCCGTCTGGGTAGGTACCACCCTGTGAGGCATCTAAGTTCTCAGTGGTCGCGACATCTCTATAGCTTCTATATTAGAAGTTGGTTGCCGGTATCCATACACTGCAGTAGCCACTTACCACGTGGTAAGCTGTAAGTTCGTTTGTCACATCGATTTTGTAAAAATGTAATTTAAAATAAAAAATTATGTACAACCGACTTCAATATAAATTATTAAGAATAATTCAAAAATGGTCAGACCTTTATCAAATTTATATGGGATCACATGTGAAGCACCAGCTTTCAAATAAAAAAAGAATCATCGAAATCGGTTTACCCAGTAAAAAGTTATGAGGTAACACACATAAAAAAACATACAGTCGAATTGAGTACTGGCACCTTTTTGTAGTCTGTAGAAAATACGAAATAAAAATTGATTTAACAATATTATGATCTTACGAATATCTAAAACAAGGTCAAGGATTAGTTTTAAAAAAAACTCACAATGAACAAACGAGGATAAAGTCTACATGTCGACATGATAGTAACTACGAGCATGGGCTACACCTAAAACATGATCCTGATGACAGTTTTGGAATGATCGCATAACACTTCTACGTTTGGTGAGATGACGAGTGATTGCAGGCTACTTCGAAACTCTAAGGTAGGCTAGTAAAGAATGCCTGAGGCATTAAGTTCTATATGCCACGTGTGTACAAGAAGTTTTAAATAAATAAATAAAATATTTCGAAAAATAAGCCCCACTTTTACCTGACTTGATAATATATCGGAGGTTTTCAATTCGACAATGTGTTTTTGTATGTCATGCGATATCTTTGTTAGTTGTGATCGTGATGATACTTTTTTATAGGGGTTGTCCCATAAAAATTTAGAGGAAAAATTCCACCCCTAATTTACAATTACTTCCAGTTACTTAAAATAACACCCCATATAATTAATTCTTAAGTTTACAAAATTCTAGTTTAATCCAAGGTGTAGTGTTCGTGTAGAACACTACACCTTGGATTAAACTAGAATTTTATGGGTTTTATCGCGTTTATTAACTAGCTTAATTCCACGTAAAGAAATAAAGTGATATGTCCTGCCCAGCTTGAAGAACCATCCAAAAAAAAAAACAAAGAAAAGAAACATAAACATAAACACTCACGCCTGTCACCCAGAGGGGTAGGCAGAGACTACGGACTTCCATTTGGCGCGATCCTGACACACCTCTCTCGCCTCTTTCACATCCATATATCTACGCATACACGCTCGTCGGTTAAGGGTACTCCTAATCTGGCCCATTTTCAATGTATCGCCGATCTGGTCGATAAACCTTCGTCTAGGGCGTCCCTTCCCGACCCTACCGTTCACTTCTGCAACATAAATTTGCTTTGTCACTCTTTCCTCGTTCATTCTTTCTACGTGACCAAGCCACCGAAGCATTCCTTTCTTAATCCTTGTCACAACGTCATCTTGCAAACCACACTTTTCTCTTATTACACTATTTCTCACCCTGTCATTCAGATTCAGCCCTAGCATACTCCTTAAGGAACGCATTTCTACAGCATTTATTCTACTCTCATGCTTCTTCTGCCAGACCCAACTTTCACTACCATACATTAAAGTCGGTACTAACACAGCATTATGAATTGCCATACGTGCCTTAGTTGACACATTCTGACTCCTCATAATAGCGTGTAGAGCCCCATTCACTCTATTTCCTGCGTTCACTCGTCGTTCTATATCCTTATCATATCTACCATCCCTGCTAAATAAACATCCCAAATATACAAACTCATCCACTTGCTCAATCAACTCCCCTTCTATTCTTATTTTACATAAAGTTTTACTTTCTTCTCTTTCAAAAACCATCACTTTCGTCTTACTTGCGTTCACTTTCATACCCCTTTCTTTCAATGAACAATTCATTAAAGTAACCATCATTTGCAACTCGGCCGCCGACGATGCAAATATGACTTGATCATCGGCGTACAAAAGGCATTTGACGGTTGACTCACCCATTCTCAACCCACATTCTTCAACTTTCAAAGTTTGCAAACAACTGTCCATAAATAGGTTAAACAGCCACGGGGAAGCCACACATCCCTGTCTGACACCTTTATGAATGCCAAACCAGTCCGAGTAGACCCCGTTGATCCTGACACAAGCACTAGAGTCCCTATAAAGAGACCTTAATGCCTGTATCAAGCCAGCGCTCAACCCAAATGAGTTCAGTGTTTGCCATAACACGTTCCTGTCCACTCTGTCATAAGCCTTTTCCAAGTCTAAGAACGCACAAAAAACTTTCTGGTTTTTAGCCAAAAACTTCTCCGCTATCATGCGCATGGAAAAGACTTGATCCGTACACCCCATCCCCTTTCTAAATCCAGCTTGCACATCCCAAATTTTTCCATCAGTTTCTTCCATAACTCTTTCAATTAACACCTTAGCATACAGTTTACCCACAATGCTAAGCAAGCTGATACCACGGTAGTTTTTACAGTCCTGCTGCGACCCCTTTCCCTTATATATTGGGACTATAACGGCTTTGCACCAGTCTTCCGGTACCCGTTTCAGTTCCCAACATAAACTAAACAAGGTGTGCAGCAGGCCTGCAACCACACCCTCACCAGCCCTTAGCATTTCGAGTGATACTCTATCATATCCGGCTGCCTTACCTGCTTTCATGCTTTTCATTGCTTTCATTATTTCATCTACACTTATCTCCCTACCTCTCTCCACTTCTTCCGGAATTTCTATTTCACTTATTTCAGACGACTCTTCACTCTTAAACACGCTTTCAAAGTATTCCTTCCATCTCTTTAAATTCGAAACTTCATCATTCAGCATGCAGCCATTCTCGTCTCGTATAGCATTCATTCTAGGCTGTTTTGAATTTCCCCTGGCAGTTCTTACGAGCTTCCAGAACATTTTAATATTTTCCTGGAAGTTATCAGATATCCTTCTATCATTTTTATCTATCCTTTCTTGCTTTTTCCTTTCAACAACTTCTTTTACTCTCTTATTTATACGTCTAAAGTTTGCCTTTTTTCTTTCAATCTCATCATTCATACCGCCAGAATTACCAGCTTTAGTTGCTAGTAAATCTAGCCATGCTCTCTTCTTTGCTTCAACTTCCATCCGTACCTCATCATCCCACCACAACGTATTACTTTTCCTTTCATTCGTTCTCTTACTTACACCGCATACTTCGGTGGCTGCATCCACCAGAACTCTCTTAATATCATTCCATACATTCTTCAATTCTAAATCATTCATACATAATTCATTCAACCCACTTATATTTTCCCTCAGTCTGCATTTATACTTCTCTTTCACACCTTCATCTTGTAACCTCTCTATTCTTATACGCTGTAACGCAGTGGTAGACACCGATGTCCGATGCCGCCAACGTCTGAATAGACCATTAATTCGGCATAAGACCAAGTAATGATCCGTCCCTACGTTGGACCCCCGGTAAACCCTTGTATCTACCACTGCGCTCCTCATTCTTTCATCCACAATTATAAAATCTATCATGCTTCTATCATCCCCTCTTTCCCATGTATACATGTGAATCCTCTTATGGCGAAAGAAAGTGTTCGCCACAAAAAGATTCTTTTCCACACATACGGTGAGGAGGTCTTCACCATTCTCATTTATTCTTTCATCGCCAAACGTTCCTAATATCCTTTCATAACCAGACCTCTTCACCCCCACCCTTCCATTAAAATCTCCTAACATAATAATATTTTCATTTTCCTTACATTTCATCAACACCAGCCTTACCATGTCCCAAAACTGCTCTCGGATATAAGTGGGCTTAGACATATCTGGGGCGTACACCCCTAGCACAAACAACTTCTTTAAGCCCACTTTCATTCGTATCCACAGCAGCCTTGGGCTAACACATTCATACTCTTTCACACATTGACCCATTCTTTCTGAAAGGATGACACCGACTCCCTGGCATGCCCGCTCGGTCTCGTCTACTCCAGACCAGTAAGCGGTATACATGCCATGTGCAGTGACATCTCTTCCCTTTCGTTTCGTCTCGTTTACACATAACACATCTATTCCTCTATCATTCATCATTTCGCATACTTCATCCATCTTATCATTCATTGCTCCACATACATTCAGCGTAGCCAGACGGGCCTCCGCAATCCACTTTTCGCCCCTCCGGGAGACAGGACGTGACGGGTGGCGAACCTCGTCGCCGGTTTTTCTCCCGGAGATTCTTCGCACCCCTGCCCCATTAAAGGGGCGCCGGGAACTCGGGGCCATTTCTTTTTCTACTAGGCTCATGGTGCGAACTAAGGGGGTGGTAGATTTTACGCCGCTACCATACGGCGAGGAGCCGAGTCTGTCGTTTCGGCTTTGTCGCTCGTTTAGCACCACCCGGGGGACACGTGTAGGGTGGGCCTAGGATTAGGTGGTCGAAGCCTACGGACGCGAGCGACTCATCCATTTATAAGTAAATCTATCTTAATAAGTAAGGTACTTTCGGTGGGTGTAAATGCTCCCCGGGTTCCTTCAAAACACTCAGGTCTGCATCCACGAGTATGCCCACGAAGCATGACTTGGTGTTGATGCATCGCCATCTTAAACTTTTATTCCCCCCTTTTGAGTAATAATAACCTTTGTATTTCACAATTTCCCTCCC